AACACAAACCAGGAAAGATTCAGTGTTAGGAGAGCCTCACTAGTCTTAAGAAACATTCCTTGGATTATGTCACTGAGAAAAATTGGTTCTTCATTCTGAAGAATTCCATCTACAGTACAGAGCTTATGTTAATAAGAATATGCAGACTCACGTGCTATAGTGATTTAAAGTCCTTGAGAGGGTGACAGAAATCTAAACTATAAATCTTTAGGGCAAGAATCCTATTTGCTGCCAAGAAAGGTGAATGAGCTGACAGCAGTGGCACGGAAGTATTTTTCTTATTTCACTCAGTCTAAACAGGTTAAGTTTGCTCTTGCTACTGCTGGAGGCAAGATTTTTCCTCAGCCATTACTTTAACCCAGTGTGCACTCTGCAAGTTGCCAAGCAACATTACAGTTAGAAACAACACTGGGGGGGGGGGGGGCAGGAACTAGAAATTTGACTTAGATACAGGGGGGGGGCAAGTGGGTGGAACCCTTCCCTCTAGTACAGTGTGTGCTGTACTTGGAGAGCATGAAATTTAAAAAATTGAACAGTCACTGAAAATTTCAGTTAACGTTGCTGTAATTAAACCATAACATCAGGCCATGTGCTTAGTTGGAGGAGGTGGAGCCTGGGTATCTTCTTCATTCGGGGACTTCTGTAGGAAAGATCACTACTAGATTTTCCTTCAGTGGCTTCCCAGGATTGAAGGCAGTGTTGGTCACTACAGCGACAGAGACAAAGCCTGGTTCCAGACTTGTGGGAAAGGAGGCAGACAAGTGAAGAAAATAAGTGTCTGGTGGTGCACACAGAACAAGGGAAAGCCATACACCGGCTTTATACAGGGAGTGGTGCTCACACAGGCTGTTTTTGAGTATGTGTGGTGTTGGAGGTCACCCAGGGCCTCCTTAATGCTAGGCAAGTGCTCTACTGTGGAGCAAGACCCTTCTGATAAGAACACTTCATAATATACATTAGAAGAGCACATTTGTACTTCAACTTAACATCACACTGAGTCCTGCTCTGGGGTTTTTTTGGTTTTTTTTTTAAAGACAGGGTCTCATATATTCCAGGCTGGTGTTGAACTTTTTCTTGTTTTGTTTTTCCTTTTTGAGACAGGGTCTCTCTGTAGCCCCAGCTGTCCTGGAACTCACTATGTAGACCAGGCTGGCCTTGAACTCACAAAGATCTGCCTGCCTCTGCCTCCTGAGTGCTGGGATTAAAGGCATGCGCCACCACACCTGGCTTAGGTTTTATTATATGTGTATGAGTGCATTGCCTGCATGTGTGTATAAATGCACCAAGTGTTGTGCATTGCCTTCAGAGGTCATAAAAGGGCATCAGATTACCCTGGAACTGGAGTTACAGAAGGTTGTTAGCCTCTGGGAGCTGAACCTGGATCCTCTGCAAGAGCAGCCAGTGCTCTGAACCACTTAGCCGTCTCTCCAGTCCCCATTATTTGATGGTTTTTATTTTTTTTTTCTTTTTGGTCTTTTTGGGACAGGGTCTCCCTGTAGCCCCAGCTGGCCTGGATTCACTATGGAGACCAGGCTGGCCTCGAACTCACAGAGATATGCCTGCCTCTGCCTCCTGAGTGCAATGCCCACAGAGGTCAGGAGAGTCAAATTCCCCTGGAACTGGAGTTACAGAACAGTTGTTAGTGGCCATGTGGGTACTAGGAATTGAACCCAGGACTTCTGCAAGAGCAATGAGTGCTCTTAACAGCTAAGCTATCTCTCCAGTCCTAAGTCTTAGTTTGTATGCGTGTGTCTATGTGTAGTATGTGAAGCTAGAATCAGGACAACTTTCAGGAGTTGGCTCTCTCCTTCCACCATGTGGACCCCAGGGATCAAACTAATGTTATTAAGCTTAGCAGGGAGTACCTTTACTCATTGAATCATTTCACTGGCCCAGACCTTGAACTCGTCATCCTCCTGCTTCTATCAAGGATCTTGATTGGCTCCAAGACTCCTGCCTTAGTGTTCTCT